CCTAGGCCCCTACACCCAAAAAACCCTTGGCCCCGAAAGCCTAAACCCTAAAGCCTAGGCCCCGAGACCCTAAACCCTAGTCCCCTAAACCCCAAAGCCGAGATTCTCAACCCTAAACCTGGCGGTTGGGAAGTCACAGGGGTTTGATTCAGGGGTGTTCTGTTATTATTTCTGCGCGAGGTTTTTCACAGAAGGTTTTACAGGGTTTTGTTTTTAGATTTCAAGTTAGGAATTTGACTAGATATAAGAGGGTTTTGGGGTGAAATCGATAAGGAATGAGTACAAAGCTTGTAAGGGAAGGCGAAGGCTTGTCGGTTTCGTCTCTTCCATTCGGCTTCCGGGGGCCTTTTTGCCTTGGTTGACTTCTTGTGGGAGACATGTACTTCATCATCATCATCATCATCGTCATTATCATCATCATACATAGGATACATAGGTGCGTGTGTGTATAAGTATATATATATATACACGTATGTATGTATGTATGTATGTATGTATGTATGTATGTACGTATGTACCCACATGTCTCGGATGGAGGGCTCGGCTGGCTCGGTGGACTTACGAGGTCAGGTCATTTCGCCCGCTGTGCCCGGATTTTTCTTCTCGACCGTGTCCCTAGGACAGTTTCAGGTGGATAGTTACCGTTATAGGAGCCTTATAGAAGGTCTATAAACCCTTCTAGAAGCCTTCTAGAAGCCCTATATACCCTAAACTCCCCACCTGTAGTTTCCTTTTATTGTCCCTGGCAGAGAAGTGTTTCCTCCAGGGTGGCCCACGGCCTGCATGTGTTGCTCTTTGCTACAATCCTAGCATGAAAGTGGCTTACTGAAACCCTAAACCACTAAACCCTAAACCCAAAACCCGTAAACCCAAAACCCCTAAACCCAAAACCCCTAAACCCCTAAACCCTAAACCCCTAAACCCCAAACCCCTAAACCCTAAACCTAAACCCCTAAACCCAATACCCAAAACCCCACAACCCCAAAACCCAAAATCCCCTAAATCCTGAACCTTCAGCACGAACTCGTAGAAGTGAGTTCGCATCCTCAAGCCCAGAACCCTGAGAGCCCAGTACCCCTTATATAATTAAGGAATAGACCTTAAATCACAATATTCAGGCCCCTATGCTTTAAGGTGTATATTCCCTTAAGTCCCCTATAGAACCCTTATAGAAACCCTTATAGATCCCTTTGAGGAACCCTATAATTTAAGGTATCCCTTAGTTATGGCGTCTTTAGGCTCTCTGGGAACCCGCAGCTCCTCTCTTAGGTGATTTTGGTTTTGGGGTTGTGGGGTTTTGGGTATTGGGTTTAGGGGTTTTAGGTTTAGGGTTGAGGGGTTTGGGGTTTAGGGGTTTAGGGTTTAGGGGTTGGGTTTCTAGCAGCCCAGCGGGCCCTCTACGAACCCTACCACGCTTTTTTATAAGACCCAGAGAGCCCAATACCCCTTAAATAAGGATTATACCTTAAATGATAGGGGCTTTAATGTTATGATTTAAGGTATATTCCTTAATTAGGGGGTATTCGGCTCTCTGGGCTATAAGGGCCGTAAACGAGCCATCGTATAAGAGCCCTACATAAAACAAAGGCCCCTAGAAGAGCCTTAAGAGCGAATCTCATGCGATCGCTGGAGCCCTAAACCTCTAACACCCAAACCCACTTCGAAGAACACTTGAAAGCTTTACCCTGAGCTCACCACCCAGAGAGCCCAATACCCCTTAAGTAAGGAATATACCTTAAAGAGCCCAATAACTCTCAAGTAAGGAATATACCGTAAATCACAATATTAAGGCCCCTATAATTTGGGTATACTCCTTACTTCAGGGGTATTGGGCTCTCTGGGCACCCTAACCCTAAGCCCTAAACCCTGAGA